GCTTCTGTGTGTGTGTGTGTTAATAAGCTTGTGTGTCAGTGAGCTCAACTGTGCATGTATGTGGTGAGTATGTTCACAATACATTGAACTTTTCCCTAAAAGAACCAACATTTTTTAAATATATATTGTTACAAATTTGTAACTGGCCCTTTAAATGGCAAATTGCCCTGCTTCCCTGGGTTGTGGAGAAGCCTATTTGCCAGCCTCCTTCCACATGACTATGGCCCCTGGGAGATTGTGAGAACTTATGCACTTTTATTGAGTGTGTATGGCCCTTTAAGACAGCCAGTGGGCATATTGGGGCTTATGGACTCTTTATGGGACTGGTGCTGGCCCTTTAAACACCTTTTTGGGACATCAGGAAGATTGGGACACTGCCCCTTTAAGACGGTGTCCCCAGACTTGTTTGGGACACTGCCCCTTTAAGACGGTGTCCCCAGACTTGTTTGGGACACTGCCCCTTTAAGACGATGTCCCCTGTGTCCCCAGACCTGGTTAAAACCCCTTGTGCCTGGCTATTTCCCACTTGGTTCAGTAAATGGGGCTTACTGAACCAAGTACCACACAGGCAGACCACCCAGAAGTGGAAGTGTGTCGGCAATTTACCTCCCAGAAGCTGCGGTTAACCGCAGCTTAATTGACAATGCTGGGTGGCCTTTGTTCATTTGCCGAACACGTGGTGGCGGCCATCTTTGTTAATGCGAACGAGGTCAGCGGTATGTGTAGCCAAATTCATGGAACTAAAATCAGCAACACATTTTCGCGAACACCGCTGAGCCCTACCTTCTCCCCTACTGATTTTACAGCTGCAGAGACTAAGTCCCATTCGTTTTTCAGTCGTTTTTTCAGCCTGAAATAGACCGACCACACAGCCCAAATCTATGGAACTGTTTTGGGCAGGACAATGTGCTTGCGGTCGGTCATAAAGGGACCTCCAGCTAACTTTTTAACCCCTGGATGGATTTGTCTGATTTTTGGTTATTTAAGTGTGCTGATTCCAAATATGTATGTTTTTATGAAGATTGGATTTGTAGTTATAGTACATGTATAAAAACTGTATTTTTCCTGCTTGTGTTAATTATGTTAAGCATTGTGTGCCATAATTAGATCACAGGCAAAGGGGAGGATTTTTGGATGTAATTGCTGGGAGTGTTTTCTGTAATGTACGTTTATGATTGGTTGTTCTGTAAACCCCTGTGGGCGGTCGTGTATGTGTTAAACCTGCATAAAAGAAGGCCCTTTGGTGCCAAGTAAACAGATCTTCTTGACCCTCAATATGTAGCCTTGTCTTGTTATTGTAGGGAACTGCTATATCACACTGGGGATTGCTATGCTCTGCATACTCCCCTGAGCTTTTAATCACTTAGCTCTTTTAAGAGCTGTTCCCGTTACGCTCTCCTGGAGGAGAGGTCTTCCCCACATGGTCCTGGAGGACAGAAGCGGCTCCAGGGTGGAAGGAAGACGGCGAGACTCCAGTTAAGCTTCGGCGGTTGTGGAGTCTGCGGTGGTTGTGGTGTCTGCTGCAGTGTTTGGAGTCCTCAGGAAGCGCTAGGAGCATCCATCAATGGAGGGTACTCGGTCGGAGTACAGGGAGCTCTGTTACATATATATATATATATATATATATGTGTAAAATTAACTGTTTAACCTTTTATTTGGGGTTTTGGGGTCTGCGGGTGCCAGCCTCCACTACAGCCAGAAGATATACCACAGAGCTAACCCGTGCTCATTGGCTGAACACACTCTCTGCAAACACTCTCAGACATCTCTCAACAGTGTTTAAGTCAGTAGAGCTGATGGTGTCTTTGACAGGTGCAAAGCAGACTCCAAGTCAGTTGTCAAAGTATTTATAAACAGTGTACTCTAGTAGTTATTGTGAATGGAGTTTTATTTTAAATAATCTCCCAGTGTCCCTCCCTAGATTAGGCGGTTCTAGATGCACCCCTGTGGTAACCTTACCACTACCAGAGGTTGGAGGGGAATAAGCTCCTGGTTATTCCATGATGATTTAGCAAAAAGTTAATATTTTAGTCATCACAGGAAATGCAGTTGAAAGATTTGCTGGAGTAAGGTACCCAAGGGATGTAAATATACAACATATATGCTGCACTTCTGATGATCAGTACCAGTTCCCAAGATTCATTATTTATTTATTTATTTATAAAATATTTTACCAGGAAGAAAACATTGAGATTTCTCTTGTTTTCAAGCATGTCCTGGGTCCCCAAAACATTGCATTGATACAATAGGGTACAATAAAATACAAAAACAATATTAATACACAATCTATACAAAATTTAACATAGAACAGGTAGAAAATATATAATAAACCATGACAGGTGCATTCTGTTTTGAGGTATGTAGAGAGGGATCACTTAAAGGACCACTCTAGGCACCCAGACCACTTCAGCTTAATGAAGTGGTCTGGGTGCCTGGTCCAGCTAGGGCTAACCCATTTTTTTTTTATAAACATAGCAGTTTCAGAGAAACTGCTATGTTTATGAATGGGTTAAGCCTTCCCCCATTCCCTCTAGCGGCTGTCTCACTGACAGCCGCTAGAGGCGCTTGTGTGCTTCTCACTGTGATTTTCACAGTGAGAGCACGCCAGCGTCCATAGGAAAGCATTGATAATGCTTTCCTATGTGACCGGCTGAATGCGCGCGCAGCTCTTGCCGCGCGTGCGCATTCAGCCGACGGGGAGGAGAGAAGGAGGATCAGAGGAGGAGAGCTCCCCGCCCAGCGCTGGAATAAGGTAAGTTTTTACCCCTTTCCCCCTTCCAGAACCGGGCGGGAGGGGGACCCTGAGGGTGGGGGCACCCTCAGGGCACTATAGTGCCAGGAAAACAAGTATGTTTTCCTGGCACTATAGTTGTCCTTTAAAGGACTTTAGGCTTGGGGAAGATTTGAAAGTGTGCGGGAGGTCGTTCTATAATTGCGGTGCTCTGTGGGAGAAGGAGGATCGGCTGCATTCTTTTTGTATTGAGGTAGACTAAATAAAGTGCTGGTACTGGATCGGAGGTTATAGGAGGTGGGGACAGCTGGGGAGAGCAGTCTGCTCAGTTAGGGAGGGAGCATCCCAGAAAAGTTCTTAAACACAAGGCTGGAAAGATGAAGGCTGCGTCTGGATTCCAGCGACAGCCAGTTTAGTTCTTTTAGCATGTCACAATGGTGGGTCCTGTAATTACAAAGTAGCACAAGTCGGCAGAACAAGTTATACAATGTATTAAGTTTATTAAGGTGGGTTTGCGGGGCAGGTGCATATACTACATCCCCATAATCAATGATTGGCATCAGCATTTGCTGTACAATCTTTTCCTTTACTGTAGGCAGGATTTGTTTCTGTACAGGGCACCTAGTTTTGGATAAAGTTTAGATGCAGGGACATTATTTTCGACTGATTTCCAGCATGCAGAGATTGTGTCAGGGGCTCCACACATGTAATCACTGGGCATATGGAATTTGCACAATATGCCATAATTGCGATGTGTGTGTGTGTGTTTGTTTAGCAGTGAATGTGTGTAAAAGTTTGTGTGTATCTGCGAGTGTTTGATTGTATATATGTGTAATAGTCTCTATATATCTGTAACAGTTTGTGTATCTGTGAATGTTTGAGTGTGTATATAGTTTATTTATATGTGCAACAGTTTCTGTGTATCTGTGAGTATGTGTAACAGATTGTGTTTATCTGAGTTTGTATATGTGTAACTGTGTAAACAGAAAAAGGTGTATAGGTCGCGCTAAGGGGACAAGGAAATAAAATAAATGAAATAAACAAAAGTAATAAAAAGGTCCCAGATATAAATAAACCTGTGTTGTTCTAGGAGAGTATACAGTCCAAATGGATATCTGAGTCTTCTTATGTTGAGGATGTCTTGGAATGCTTGTCAATACGTAGATACATAAAAAAGAAGAGGAAGAAGAACTCCAATAGTGTAGAATGTCGGTATAGTTTCCAGGTATAGGTCTATGAATAAGTAAAAAACTCACCTTGGCGTGAGCAAAAAAACTTTGCTCAAGTGTTCTTAGCGTTCAGTGGCGTCAATCCCCCACTGGTAGGATATAGGTGATGGGGTCCTGGACAATTCCTCGGTATATAAAAAATGAGAGACGTATATAGTGCTCACTGATGTTAGTAAAAGCAAATAAAATAAGTAAAATACTCACATGTACAAGAGCAGGAAATACTGCTCAGTATGATGGCGCAGGTGGTACAATCCCCACCTTAGGATTCTTGGAAGTTGACGTACTTCAATCCAAATTGATGACCAGGTAATTCAAATTAAAAATATAGAATAAAAGGAATTAAAAGTATATAGGCAAAAAATAAGGGCCAATATTCCTTTATTAAAATATAATTTATCAATATATATAACAGACTTTGTAATAGCCAAAACGCGTTTCACCACACAGGGCTTTATCAAATGGCATTTAAAAGAGAGAAAAACCTGGTACACAAACTGCTTTTATAAGCTAAAAAATACAGATAGGTATTTGAATTTTGGCGCCAAAATGACGTCACACTTACAATATGCATAATTTAAAAACAATTCAAAAGTAAGAAATTGAAAAGTAAAAGCATTATATAATGCAATATTAAGATAATTATTAGTTTCAAATAGTAAAACGAGCATTATTTATAATGTGGTACATTAGGAGAGATGATGTCAGTGAAAAAAATATAATCACAATTAGTATATATACAAAAGTTGAAATTGATGATATAGGAACCTTAAAAAAAGGGGTATGAAAATGTCTGTGGGCTTAAAATAGAAAAACGAGCATTATTGAGAATAGTAATATATAATGAAACACGTGATCGCGGCTAGACGAGATCACGTGATCGGAACTGGGCATTGTGGGAAATGTATGCCAGAGAGTCGGGAGATCGGCGCAAAAGTATTTCGCCTGTCTCTCGACTAGATAGTGCAGTAGGGGCATATGAGAGCTAGATAATTAGCCCTGCATATAAATAGAGACCTGATAGGTGAGGGGAGAGGGGGAGAGAAGAAAAAAAGGGGAAAGGCAAAAGAGGGGCTTATAGCAGGAAGTATCCTGCATAATCAAAAGGATAATGATAATATATATATTTTTATCATTATCCTTTTGATTATGCAGGATACTTCCTGCTATAAGCCCCTCTTTTGCCTTTCCCCTTTTTTTCTTCTCTCCCCCTCTCCCCTCACCTATCAGGTCTCTATTTATATGCAGGGCTAATTATCTAGCTCCCATATGCCCCTACTGCACTATCTAGTCGAGAGACAGGAGAAATACTTTTGCGCCGATCTCCCGACTCTCTGGCATACATTTCCCACAATGCCCAGTTCCGATCACGTGATCGCGTCTAGCCGCGATCACGTGTTTCATTATATATTACTATTCTCAATAATGCTCGTTTTTCTATTTTAAGCCCACAGACATTTTCATACCCCTTTTTTTAAGGTTCCTATATCATCAATTTCAACTTTTGTATATATACTAATTGTGATTATATTTTTTTCACTGACATCATCTCTCCTAATGTACCACATTATAAATAATGCTCGTTTTACTATTTGAAACTAATAATTATCTTAATATTGCATTATATAATGCTTTTACTTTTCAATTTCTTACTTTTGAATTGTTTTTAAATTATGCATATTGTAAGTGTGACGTCATTTTGGCGCCAAAATTCAAATACCTATCTGTATTTTTTAGCTTATAAAAGCAGTTTGTGTACCAGGTTTTTCTCTCTTTTAAATGCCATTTGATAAAGCCCTGTGTGGTGAAACGCGTTTTGGCTATTACAAAGTCTGTTATATATATTGATAAATTATATTTTAATAAAGGAATATTGGCCCTTATTTTTTGCCTATATACTTTTAATTCCTTTTATTCTATATTTTTAATTTGAATTACCTGGTCATCAATTTGGATTGAAGTACGTCAACTTCCAAGAATCCTAAGGTGGGGATTGTACCACCTGCGCCATCATACTAAGCAGTATTTCCTGCTCTTGTACATGTGAGTATTTTACTTATTTTATTTGCTTTTACTAACATCAGTGAGCACTATATACGTCTCTCATTTTTTATATACCGAGGAATTGTCCAGGACCCCATCACCTATATCCTACCAGTGGGGGATTGACGCCACTGAACGCTAAGAACACTTGAGCAAAGTTTTTTTGCTCACGCCAAGGTGAGTTTTTTACTTATTCATAGACCTATACCTTGAAACTATACCGACATTCTACACTATTGGAGTTCTTCTTCCTCTTCTTTTTTATGTATCTACGTATTGACAAGCATTCCAAGACATCCTCAACATAAGAAGACTCAGATATCCATTTGGACTGTATACTCTCCTAGAACAACACAGGTTTATTTATATCTGGGACCTTTTTATTACTTTTGTTTATTTCATTTATTTTATTTCCTTGTCCCCTTAGCGCGACCTATACACCTTTTTCTGTTTGTCCAATTCCATGTGAGGTTTTTTGAGGGACCTCATTCCTATAGGTTGCTGCTTTTACGTTTTGTTTTAGTTTCTTTTAGATTGTTTAGCGCTGAACCATTACCTTTTTGTTCTATGTGTAACTGTGTGCCTTTGCATTTTTTAATCATTTGTGTATGTGTAAGTGTGTTAAGGGGTCCCCATAATCTCCTATTTCTATGGTGCCCCATGAGTTGTCAGTCTGTCCCTGTTTAGGACTATTCCCCTTTCAGCTTGCAGATGGCTAATTTCTTTAGTCTAAGCACAGTAAAATTAACCTCTACCATACTGTAATCAATCACACCACCTATTGGGTACCAATTCCATGCATCTACTACACAAATCCCATTAGTTAATATTTTGACAATGAAACAATGAATACACACCACATTGAATGACAATATTTTTACTGCTCACTGATAATGACACTACTTTAGGCTCAGTTTAAATCAACAGGAAACATTATGCCATCTTTCAAAACCCTCTCAAATAATTAATAAATTAAAAAGAAGTGGGCCAAGGACAGATGCCTGAGGTAATCCACTTACAAGTTTTTTCCTCAATTAGAAATTATTACATTTATATCTATCTTCATACCATCATTTAATCATTCCAAGTAAAAATTGTTCCTCATAAGCGTGCATTATTTCACTTACGTAATCGTAAATAAATATCCATCCATTTTACAAAATTAAGTAAATCACTTCTGATTCAATGCTGTTCTACTTTTTATATAAAATGAAGATATTAATAAGGTAAAATGGCATGGATATTAAAGTAGTAAACAGCAAATTAGAAAATAATTATATATATATTTGTGGTCAGGGACAATAAGCAGAGTTATATTTGTGGTGCATAAGTCAGTTGTGGTGTGCCACAACTAGTGATGTCGCGAACCGTTCGCGAACTTGCCACGAACGGTTTCGCCACGGTTCGCCACGAACGGTTCATGTCGAACGGTTCGCTGCGAACTCCGGTCAGCTGACACATCCCTGCCAATCTCCGGCAGACCCTCCCTCCCAGACCCTCCTACTTCCTGGACAGCATCCATGTTGAAGACAGCTTATGGCGAACCGTGGCGAACCATTCGCGGCAAGATCGCGAACGGTTCGCGACATCACTAGCCACAACCAATGTTCAGTTAGGCCTGTAAGAAGAGGGCCCACCAATTTAAATGGCTTGATAAACGGAGTAATGGGTGGGCTGAACCAGACAAAAGACTGATTATATAAGATACTTAGAAAAACAAGTGTAATATGATCAAAATAAGGCTGAAAGCCTCTGGGGGCATGAAACCAGTTTATACAAACAGATTTATAAGAGCATAAGAAGCCCAGCCTTAAAACAAACTTGTTTTCCTTGCACTATAGTGCCCTGAGGGTGCCCCCACCCTCTCCCGCCGGGCTTAAGGGGGACGAAGGGGGTTAAACACTTACATTTATCCAGTGCTGGGCTCCCTCGGCGCTAGGGACTCTCCTCCCTCTTCTGATGTCATCGGCTGAATGCGCATGCGCGGCAAGAGCCGCGCGTGCATTCAGCCAGTCCATAGGAAAGCATTCTGAATGCTTTCCTATGGATGTTGGCGTCTTCTCACTGTGAAAATCACAGTGAGAAGCGCAGAAGCGCCTCTAGCGGCTGTCAATAAGACAGCCACTAGAGGCTGGATTAACCCTAAAGTAAACATAGCAGTTTCTCTGAAGGCGGCAGGCAGGGTTAATCTTAGATGCACCTGGCACCCACACCACTTCATTGAGCTGAAGTGTTCTGAGTGCCTATAGTGGTCCTTTAATTTATAAAGCAAATTGTTCAATAGTTAAAATGTAACTTTTATTGTGTATAAAAATAAAATATGAAACCTTTAATCGGAAGTAAAATATATCCTAGTTCCAGTATGAGCATTATCAACAAATACACTTGATAATGTAAATCACTCAATGGTCTCCATATCTGTTTGAAATTACAGGGTATACATATAACCAGTGGCGTCGCTAGGGGGGGGCCAGAGGGGGCCATGGCCCCCCCTACATGATGCTGTGCCCCCCCTTGGGCCCCCCCAAATGCTGGCAACTTGCTGGCCATCTGCTTCCCTCGGACTGTGACAGCCTGTTACAGCCCGAGGGAATGCAGTGCTGAGGTGCTGGGGGCTGTCTGTGGCTGGAGGGAGCACTGATTGGCTCCCCGGCACAGGCTCCGCCCCCAAACGAAACCCCGCCTCCCGCCGGTAAGCCCCGCCCCCGCCGTTATGCAGCAGCCCATGCTGCTGCTGAAGATGGCTGCCTGACCCCCACAGGTGACAGGTAGGCTGGGGGGGGGGTGTACACACACACATTGCCCCCATACAGCCTCCCATACACACACTGCCCCCATACAGCCTCCCATACACACACACTGTCCCCCATACTGCCCCCCCATACACACACATTGCCCCCCATACTGCACACTGTCCCCCATACTGCCCCCCCATACACACACTGTCCCCCATACTGCCCCCCCATACACACACACTGCCCCCATACAGCCTCCCATACACACACACTGTCCCCCATACACACACATTGCCCCACACACTGCCTCCCATACACACACTCTGCCCCCCCATACACATACACTCTACACACATACACTATCCCCATACACACACTGTATGGACTCAGCAGTCTGTGTGTGTGTGTATGGACTCGGCAGTCTGTGTGTGTGTGTATGGACTGAGCAGTGTGTGTGTATGGACTCATCAGTCTGTGTGAGCGTGTGTGTGTATGGACTCAGCAGTCTGTGTGTGTGTGTGTGTGTATGGACTCAGCAGTTTGTGTGTGTATGGACTCAGCAGTCTGTGTGTGTGTGTGTGTGTGTGTGTGTATGGACTCGGCAGTCTGTGTGTGCATGGACTCGGCAGTCTGTGTGTGTGTATATGTGTGTATGGACTCAGCAGTCTGTGTGTGTATGGACTCAGCAGTCTGTGTGTGTATGGACTCAGCAGTCTGTGTGTGTATGGACTCAGCAGAGTCTGTATGTGTGTACGGACTCAGCAGAGTCTGTATGTGTGTACGGACTCAGCAGAGTCTGTATGTGTGTACGGACTCAGCAGAGTCTGTATGTGTGTACGGACTCAGCAGAGTCTGTGTGTACGGACTCAGCAGAGTCTGTGTGTACGGACTCAGCAGAGTCTGTGTGTACGGACTCAGCAGAGTCTGTGTGTACGGACTCAGCAGAGTCTGTGTGTGTGTACGGACTCAGCAGAGCCTGTGTGTGTGTACGGACTCAGCAGAGTCTGTGTGTGTGTGTACGGACTCAGCAGAGTCTGTGTGTGTGTGTACGGACTCAGCAGAGTCTGTGTGTGTGTATGGACTCAGCAGCCTGTGTGTGTATGTACTCAGCAATCTGTGTGTGTACGGACTCAGCAATCTGTGTGTGTATGGACTCAGCAGTCTGTGTGTGTGTATGGACTCAGCAGTCTGTGTGTGTGGACTCAGCAGAGTGTGTGTGTTTGTGTACTCAGCAGTCTTTGTGTGTTTGTGTACTCAGCAGTCTTTGTGTGTGTGTGTGGACTCAGAAGTCTGTGTGTGTGTGGACTCAGCAGTCTGTGTGTGTGTATGGACTCAGCAGAGTCTGTGTGTTTGTGTGTGTATGGACTTAGCAGTCTGTGTGTGTGTATGGACTCAGCAGAGTGTGTGTGTTTGTGTGTATGGACTCAGCAGAGAGTGTGTGTGTGTGTATGGACTCAGCAGTCTGTGTGTGTACCGACTCAGCAGAGTCTGTGTTTGTGTATGGACTCAGCAGAGTCTGTGTGTGTGTATGGACTCAGCAGTCTGTGTGTGTGTATGGACTCAGCAGAGTGTGTGTGTGTGTATGGACTCAGCAGTCTGTGTGTGTGTATGGACTCAGCAGTCTGTGTGTGTACGGACTCAGCAGTCTGTGTGTACGGACTCAGCAGAGTCGCTGTGTGTGTATGGACTCAGCAGTCTGTTTGTGTATGGACTCAGCAGAGTGTGTGTGTGTATGGACTCAGCAGAGTGTGTGTGTGTGTGTGTGTATGGACTCAGCAGAGTGTGTGTGTGTGTGTATGGACTCAGCAGTCTGTGTGTGTGTATGGACTCAGCAATCTGTGTGTGTGTGTGTGTATGGACTCAGCAATCTGTGTGTGTGTGTATGGACTCAGCAATCTGTGTGTGTGTGTGTATGGACTCAGCAGTCTGTGTGTGTGTATGGACTCTGCAGTCTATCAATAATTAAAATTCCTGTGAGTTGTTGTGTAGGAAGGGCCCCAGTGCATTGCTTTGCCCAGGGGCCCTTAACTCTATTAAAATGGTACTGCTTGTGTGTGTCAGTGAGCTTCTATTTAGTGAGCATGTGTGTGTCATTTTGACTTGTAGGAATGGCATACATTTTTTTTCCAGGGCTGCTTTGGATTCCCAGGGATTCCCAGTTTGGCTCTGCCAGCGAGTGCACTTTACCGCTGAATAATCTGTGTGAGCTGCCGCACACTTTAGCCCTGTTACAGCGTCTGGGAGCTGCTGTTGACAGGTACTAGTAGTCTAGAGATTGGGGTATATGCTCAGCTATCTGTATAATACAGATCTGTGTGTATAAAATATCCCGGGATAGTCAGTGCTTCCTGTATAGTGCTGCTCTCTGTCTTGGTATATTATACAGAAACAGACCTGTATTATACAGAGAGCAGCATTATACAGGGAGCACTGAGTGTCCCAATTTATTATACACACAACCCTGTATTATACAGAGAGCACTGACTGTCCAGGGATATTATACCCAGACAGTAATTGATAGCTGTGCTGCAAAATGTCCTTGGAATTTTTTTTTCAAATGTTGACAACTATGGCACTGTATCAAGGATAATGTGTTTGTTTTTTTAATAATCCCTGGTGGAAAATCATGATTCCTCCACCAGGTATTATTAAAAAAACAAAACACATTGTGTCGGGGGCGTGGCTTAACATGTGACAGGGGCGGGGTCAAACTGCGGCGAGGGCGGGGTTAAATGTGCCCCCCTACTTTTGTCACTGGCCCTTCATGTGCCCCCCCGAAAAATGAATCCTAGAGACGCCACTGGGTGAGTCTGAAGGTCAGGGGAATAAATCATCCAGATAGACCAGGACAAATGAATAAATATAGTCGAGAGTACGTCATTATTAAAGCCATGGAACACGGCCGGAGCATTGCACAAGCCGAAAGGCATCACAAGGTACTCATAGTGCCCACTTCTGGTGTTAAATGCCACTTTCCACTCATGATTTTCCTAATCCTTACCAAACTGTATGCACTCCTGAGATCAAGTTTAGTATAAACTTTAGCACCCTGGAGTCTGTCAAACAATTCGGATATGAGGGGAATGGGGTAGGCATTTTTAATGGTGATTTTGTTTAATGCCCTGTAGTCAATGCAAGAATGTAATTCATCATCCTTTTTAGATACAAAAAAGAACCTGCACCAGCAGGCGAGCATGATTTAGGTATATAGCCCTTACTTAGGGAGTCTTTGATATAGTCTTCCATTATTCTACTCTCCTGTGGAGATAAAACATATACTGCTCCTTTGGGAGGCATAGCACCAGGTAGCAGATTTATGGAACAGTCATATGATCTGTGAGGAGGTAGAATATTGATCTGAGTCTTACTGAATACCTCCTTGACCTCCCAGTATTGTGTGGGAACTTCGGAGGTCTAAAGCATAGTAGTAGGTAATGTAATGATGCCCACTCTTTTGGTAATGTGTAACATACATCTCTCAGTACAGTCCTTGCCCCATTCCAATATTTCCCCGTTAGCCCAGACAATATGAGGATTATCAGGGGTCAAGTCCTGGGGAAAAAAGTGTGGGAACTCACCCAAGATTCCCGCCCCGCCCCCCCCCTTTAAAAAAAAAAAAATTACACTCCTATGCATATAGTGCAGTGCAGGGTGTGTATAATGAATGTAGTGTGTTTGTAGTGAATGCAGAGTGTGTATAATGAATGCAGTGTGTTTGTAGTGAGTGCAGAGTGTGTACACAGAATGCAGTGTGTTTGTAGTGAATGCAGAGTGTGTATAGTGAATGTAGTGTGTAGTGAGTGCAGAATGTGCATAATAAATGCAGAGGGTGTATAGTGAATGCAGAGGGTGTATAATTAGATATAGTGTGTTTTTGTAGTGAGTGAAGAGTGTGTATAATGAATGCAGTGTGTGCGTGCTGGATGACGTGTGAGTGCGTGCTGGATGACGTGTGTGTGAGTGCTGGATGATGTGTGTGTGCGTGCTGGATGATGTGTGTGTGCGTGCTGGATGATGTGTGTGTGTGTGCGTGCTGGATGATGGGTGTGTGAGTGCTGGATGATGGGTGTGTGAGTGCTGGATGATGTGTGTGTGAGTGCTGGATGATGTGTGTGTGTGTGTGTTGGATGATGGGTTTGTGAGTTCTGGATGATGGGTGTGCTGGATGATGGGTGTTTGGTGGGGTGCTGGATGATGGGTGTTTGTGTGAGTGCTGGATGATGGGTGTGCTGGATGATGTGTGTGAGTGCTGGATGGGCTAGATTCTGTGACAACAGGTGCTGGATGATGTGAGTGCTGGATGATGTGTGTGAGGTCTGGATGATGTGTGTTCTGAGACCTGGATGATGGGTGTGTGTGTGCTGGATGATGTGTGTGTGGTGCTGGATGATGTGTGTGGTGGATGATGGGTGTTTGTGTGGGTGCTGGATGATGTGGGTGCTTGCTGGATGATGTGTGTGGGGTGCTGGATGATGTGTGTGAGGTGCTGGTGTGTGTGTGCTGGATGATGGGTGTGTGTGTGTGCTGGATGATGGGTGTGTGATTGGATGATGTGTGTGTGTGTGCTGGATGATGGGTGTGTGCTGGATGATGGGTCTTCTTGAGTGCTGGATGATGGGTCTGTGGTGGATGATGGGTCTGTGAGTGCTGGATGATGGGTGTTTGTGTGAGTGCTGGATGATGGGTGTTTGTGTGAGTGCTGGATGATGGGTGTTTGTGTGAGTGCTGGATGATGGGTGTTTGTGTGAGTGCTGGATGATGGGTGTTTGTGTGAGTGCTGGATGATGGGTGTTTGTGTGAGTGCTGGATGATGTGTGTGGGGAGGGGGGGGGAGGATTTTTTTTAACTTTATATTTTTTTTTATTTTATTCCCCCCTCCCTGCTTCTTACCTTGTCAGGGAGGGGGGAGATCGCCTGGTGGTCCGGTGGTATGCTGGAGGGGCCATCACGCAGTGTTCCCTCACACTTAAGGTTCTTAGGTGCAGAAGCTTTCCGGACGTATAGGACAAGCACTCCTCATATGTCCTTTTCTACTGCAGTATAGGCATAGACCATCTTTTCTCCTACATTGTCTTTATGCCTCTGACAGTCTATTGACCCCGAACTGCATAGGTTCGGGTTCAGACTGTACAGGGAGGTCAGGAACAATAGGTCTGGAGAAACGAGGTGCTAATGACATAGCCATATGTCTGGTTCTAATTCTGGTAGTTTCTCTGGTTCTTAGTCTATTATCAGTTTGCATGACAAATGTGATAAACTCATTTAATATTTTAGGTAGGTCTTTGGCAGCAATCTCATCCAGAATTGCTTTGGATAATCCTTTTTTAAATGCAAAGATTGACCCGCTATTAGTCCAGTCTACCTCAGAAGCTAATGTGCGAAATTCTATGGCATAATCTGACATAGACCGGTTCCCCTGTTTGATATGCTTTAGGGCAGTGGTTGCGTCATCCTCCCTGCCTGTTAATTTGAATTCGGCAAGGAATTCCTGGTAATTATGTGCAATACTCCTATTACTCTCCCATAAGATCCTGGTGAGGCCTCAAAATTATATTCAATTTGATTCAGGAATCCCCGGCATTCTACTATTACTATCAAAATGCGGGGGAGGATATATGGAGATAGTAGGTGCCCTTTGTACTATAGGTGGAGGTACACTAGGCAAAGGTGACATATTCGGAGAAGCCGCAGGCTGTAGATGCACTGTTCGAGTAAGAAGCGTACTGAAAGCCTGGGCAAATTGATCCATACGGTGATCATTCTCCTCTAGCTTTCTCTCTCAAGCAACTATTTGCTGACACAATTCTACAGGATCTATGGCCCTGTCGTAATGTCAGGAGTACTGATTGATTCAACACGTAGAATTGTATCACACCTAGGACTAAAAGGTAACGTCTTACCGGGCCTTAGAATGGCCGGACTTAATGTACCAGAGCATAGTCAGGATACTTGCCGAGGTCAGGGACACAGAATGGGACGCAGCTATAAAAGAAAGCCAAAAGTCAGGGATACCAGAACACAGGGAAGTCAAACAAAGCCAAAGTCAATAGCCAGAAATAAAAGCTCAGGAACACACTCTCTGAAAACCACTAAGGGAAACCACGACAGGGCAATGATGAAAAGTAGAATTGTGTTTAAATAAGCTCTTTACAAATCTGATTTCTCGCCAACGTCGTCATCAACATGGGCGGATGTGGGATTATAATTTTGCGTGGATCCGCAGCGGCCGGCGTCCATTAACATTTTGCAGGGGTCAGTGATACAGACACATGGCCGCTGAGCGCAAATACCGCAAGGTGAGGAGGAATATGTTACACCCAGTAGACACCGCCTACTCACTGTGTCCACTGGTCCTACCACTCTTGGTGGGAAAGAGGAAGCGTCCCAGGAGCAAATGAACTCAGAGGAGTTCCACTCGCTCCTGGATGCTACGATGAGCTGCCATAGGAGTGATGTCGGACAACTTGTCCCACTCCATCTCTACAGGTATCATGGCGTATAGCCTTGCCTCTGGTTAAGCACTCCCTGTGGCCTCTGATAATAAGCTGATGGGCCCTAGCGGCAGTAAGGCTATAAAAAAATATCACTATGTGGGCAAAAATACCTCCAAAAATGCTTTTACAGATAGGTTGCACCCTATTGAAACTGAGGACGTGGTGCTCCCACGTAAAAGAGTCACCTACAGGGCAAAACCTGTGCGGACTTGGAAGAGGACAAAAGCCCTGTCTGATTCGTCCGACTATGATTCAGACTCAGAGGAGGTTTCTGACGTGTCCGATGCGATCGATCTTGTTTACACGGAGAACTCATCTCCTGAACGCAGTGTGACTGCGACACCAGCTATGGAAGCTAGGCAGGAAGCGGACAACTCCGCTATCTAAGACCCTCAAGGGGAACCCTGATGCCCTGCATAACCCTTGTTCAGCTTAATGGTACCCCACTGACTATGTGGCCAAATACATTGCGACTAGAGTTAGGAAAAACCCCTAGATAAGGTCAGGAAATAAGCTTAGAGCGGAGTGCCCACACCCTACGGTTCCTGATATGGCCTGTGTTACACCTAAAATCGTCAAATTCCTAAGAAAATCCAGTTGGAAGGCCAAAAAGGGATGGGACTATTCCCTGCGACACTGTCAGGACAAAGTCTTCGACGTGTTACGGCCTGTAGCCAAGATGTTCAACATGGTCGAAGCAGCCTTGATGGGGGGGCACCAATAGACCTTTTGGCCATGAGAGGATGGATCCAATGGGCCATATGTTTGATAGGCAACGCTAACACCGCGTTGGCCACCGAACGGCGTAAAGCCATCCTGATGAAAATTGAGCCTAAACTGCTCAATCTGGCAATATCTGAGCCTGGCACACAGCCAAAAGGTCTTCTGTTCGGAGATGATTTTGTTAAAGACCTGGGCAAATATGTCAGTATCTTCACGGCACTAGACAAAGCACAAATAAATATGAAACGTGTTCTCTCAGAAGGTTTTCGGTGGGGCTGGCAAACATCAGAGCCGTCTGTCCGGCTGCTCCTCCTGGAGTTCGTACTGGGGCTATCGGGGCTCTACCACATCTAGATTTCAACCTCTGGAAAATTTGTACAACAACCAATCCAATTCTCACTACCACATCAGATTGTTTTTTTTCCCCACAAGACAAAGGCCTAGTATCAGAGGAGATTCGCACATTAAAAGGAGAAAGGTGAGATCTACGAGGTTCCGGTTACCACTCCTGGTTTCCTAAGCAACATCTTCTTGGTACCCAAGAAAGGTTGTGGTATGAGACTAGTAATCAATCTTCGACCCCTCAACGCCTTTGTCACATACCATCACTTCAAGATGGAAGGGATGCATTGCCTTCGAGACTTCCTCCTCCTGGGAGATTTGATGGTCAAACTCGATCTCCAGGATGCGTACCTCACGATTCTGATCGCCAAAGAGTGTCAAACGAGGTTCCGGTTACCACTCCTGGTTTCCTAAGCAACATCTTCTTGGTACCCAAGAAAGGTTGTGGTATGAGACTAGTAATCAATCTTCGACCCCTCAACGCCTTTGTCACATACCATCACTTCAAGATGGAAGGGATGCATTGCCTTCGAGACTTCCTCCTCCTGGGAGATTTGATGGTCAAACTCGATCTCCAGGATGCGTACCTCACGATTCTGATCGCCAAAGAGTGTCAAAACCTCCTTTATTTCCAATGGGAAAAGGCTATGTGATGCTTCTAATGCCTCCTGTTTGGCCTATCCTCGGCCCTGTGGTGTTTCACCAAGCTGCTGAAGCCGGTGGTTGCCCTTCTACGCAGCAGAGGAGTCTGTGCAATCATATACCTTGATGACATGCTGAACATGGCCTACGATGCCCAACTGCTGAGTCAACATCTCTCCTGGGCGCTGTCCCTCCTTCAAAATCTAGGTTTCTTAATCAGCTGGGACAAGTCAATCCTGCATCCTTCCCACACCATGGAGTTTTTGGGATTCAACATAGATGTGATTCACGGGACGCTCAGTTTACCTACCACAAAAGTGAAACTCATCAAGAAGGAAATCCGGTGGACGTTGGCACGACCGGTCTTGACTTTGCGACAACTCGCGAGGATAATTGGCCTTCTCTGAGCCTCCATACAAGCAATTTTTCCAGGGCCTCTCCACTAGAGGGTCCTACAACAGCTCAAGGCCTCGCACCTACGCTTGGGTCAGTCTTACTCCGATTCTGTTCCACTCAATTGCACGGCAAAAGAAGAACTGGTCTGATGGCTTCAACACATGGATGCATGGGACGTCAGGCAATCTTTGGAACCACCCCGGATTTCATCATAGAATCCGACGCAAGCAGGATCGCTGGGGTGCGCATTGTGGTCCCACCTCTACAAGTGGAAAATGGTCATCACAGGAATGGTCTGGAACTCCTGGCAGGGTTGTTCGCCTGTCAGAGCCTCCTCGAGGGCACAACCAATTGTTCCATCCTAGTTCGCATGGACAATATCTCGGCAGTCCACTACATCAACCATCTGGGTGGCACAAGATCCATGATGCTAACGAACCTAGCGAAAGATTTTTGGCACTTCTGCCTGGATCGCAACATCTGTACAAGCGGAATACCTCCCAGGTTTATCCAACATCTGCAACACAACAGCGCCTGGCGGCTGAACCGGTATTTGTTTTTTTATTAATATCTTAATATTTTTTCTTTGTTGCTGAGGAATAAAGGAAGAGATAAAGCCTAATACTCACCTTAAAGTCCTTAATAAAATCATGACTTTATGTCATGTAATTAGTAAAATCTGGTAATTGTGTGGTAGAAGAAAATCCACTTGTGCAGATTGTTTCACAGGGAAAGGCTGTAGAAGGAACCGTATATTGGCGGCTACCTTGGAAACAAGGCCTCAAGGGGCAAACAAATTTGACCTCCAAGGGTCACTTGAAAGGCAGAAATCAGCTGAATAGTCCTTTTAATTAGATATGATTCTGAAGCTAACTCAGGATATCCATCCAGCTTAGCAGTCAAGCCCCACCCACAGTGAATTTTAAATATTGATGTAAAATTAGCTGAACTAAAAGCATAGTCAACTTGGAGAATTTTTTAAAGTAGGCTATTTTGGCCTGAAATTTTATATTCTCTTTTAATTCACTTTCAGGGCTATTTATTGAATAGGGAATTGTCAGGAATTCAAATTGAAATCAAAGTAAATGTTTAGTCTATTTCAGTTATTTTGGTTTATATGTTAAATTAATTTAGAATTTCAGACATTCTCACTTTAGTAAATAACCATAAGTTCTCACTTTAGTTAATAACCCTGTAAAGTGTGAATTATCAGGTATTCAAAATAAATGTGCTTTTCATTTTACAATTAGTCTAAATTAGTCAAATTGAAAGTACAGCTGTTTTGGCTTAAAATGTCAAGTATACTTTTAACTTCCAACAATTCACATTTTAGTGCATACATTTAATGCTATAGGCAAACTAAGCTCTATAATGACTCATTGGAAAACTGCAATGTGGAGGTGAGGAGAAATGCTGACTTGGCTGCAACTTCTTTGTGTTCCTTCCCCTGGTGAACTTGATTACTATTATTTTATCTTTTCTCAGTATTCGGATGTTAACTGGTGTATTTTGACTTGCAAAATATACTCTGTTCCATATGTTAGAGCGGCACTGTCACGCCGAACTTACCTTTCTCCTATAGATTTCTTTTCTCTTCCTCTCTCAGAATCTCTTCTTTTTTTCCTAGTTGATCTAATTTTCAAAGTAGGGACTACTTTGTCTTATAATCTAACTGAAAAGCTCATTTAAGAAGGAGTGTTACTTCAAAGAAGTGCTTTGTGTTTAATTAAAATAGCAGTTCTACACACTAGTGTGGGGTACCCTCTTCCCTTGTGTGACAAGGGGGGACCCCCTGCCTCCCGCCACCCATGAGAAGTCGGTTGTGGCCCTTAAATTACAAAAGGGGACACACCACGCGCCTCTGGCTACCATGAGGCAGCAGGGCGGAGTGGGAGGTAAAGCACAGCCTGGAAAAAAAATATTTACCAGCCCCATAATGCGTGGCGCCAGCATAGTGTGCAGATACAGAGTTAGAACAGATAACTTAAAATTAAAAAGTACTTCAACGTAAAAAGCGCACTCATAGGCTTCAAAATAAACAAAAGTGCAGATTTATTTTAAGCAGGCGTGCCTTTGCATGTAATCAATGTTTCAGTCCAACTACCTTGACATATTAAGGAAAGCTTGTTAATGGGACTGAAATGGTGAATGTATGTAGGACACAACTGTAAAAAATGTTTATTTTGAAGTCCTGTGGGTGTGCTCTTCACTTTAAATATGTTATTGTGCTGGAGTATGCACCTAGCAACAAGACTGGGCCAATATCTGCTCATTACATATGGTACATATTAATGAAATTTCTCTGTGCATTTATAAATGTACATTAATATGTGTAAATATAATAGGCATAATATATATATATAACTAATACACACATTAATATACATGTCATATACCAGTGGCGGATCCAGAGCCTGATCCCGGGAGGGGCACTTGTAGATTATTTAAATAAATATTCCATGCACAATAACCACTACTCCTCTGTGTAGTGGTTATGGTGCCAGGAGTGTCGGGACTCCCTCCCAGAGTAAGTAGTCAAACTGTTTAAGAACAGTTTGACAACTTACCTGGAGTCTGCTGGGATGTGGGGCTGTAGTAGGGTATAGGAGCAGTGGTGCAATGTGTGAGGGGTGCAATGTGTGTGAAAGGTTCAGTGTGTGGGTGTGTGGGGGCAGTGTGTGAATGTGTATGGTGTGTGTGGGGGCAGTGTGTGAATGTGTATGGTGTGTGTGTGTGTGGGGGCAGTGTGTGTATTTGGGCTAGCGTTCACTCTCACTACTGCGACCACCAGGAAGTGGTGAGAGTGAACTCTAGCCCATAGCTCCAGTGCTAGAGTTCACCCTCGTGAGAGCCGGAGCGTTGCCCCGGGTCCTCTCTTCCTCCCCTGCCGGCTGCCCGCATGGTGCCTGTGGAATGGGGAGGGAGCTCGTCCGACAGCCTCGTGGGGGGGGGAATTGCCCCGTTGCTCCCCCATCCAACAGTGATATATACTGCCCCTATGTGTGCCTCTTTATCTCCAGCCCCTCTGTGTGCCTTTTTGTCTCCCTCAGTCACTCTGTATGTTTGTTTCTCCCCCTCACTGCTCCTCTGTGTCAATGTCTCCCCTCTCCTTCCCAGTCTCTCTCTTCCCCCTCTGCCTCTTTCTCCCCCTCCCCTTGTGTGTCTCTCCTATTTCTTCCTCTTTGTCTCTCTCTTCCCCCGTCTCTTTCTCCCCCCTTTCCCTGTGTCTCTCCCTCCTCCCCATCTCTCTTCCTCCCCCCTTTCCCTGTGTCTCTCCCTCCTCCCCATCTCTCTTCCTCCCCTCTTTCCCTGTGTCTCTCCCTCCTTCCCATCTCTCTTCCTCCCCCCTTTCCCTGTATCTCTCCCTCCTCCCCATCTCCTAGAGGAGTTAGGGGGGCTGCCGCGTTCCAGGCTGGAGCTGCCGGGCCGGGTGGCAGCTTCACCGGTCCGGCGGCACTGCTGTTGCTGATGGCTGAAGGAGGAGGAGCATGTCTACCATGCTCCCTCGTGGTTCCCACAATTTCCAGCACAGGAACCGTGAGGGAGCATGGTAGACATGCTCCTCCCCCCTCAGCATCATCAATGACAGGAGTGCTGCCGGACCGGCGAAGCTGCCACCCAGCACGGCGGCTCCAGCCTGGAACGCGGCCGGCCCCCTCTGAGTGTGCCACCGGACTGGCCACCCGGTGGCACCT